GAGGCAGGTCTGTGAAAGGGGGTAATATGGACATCTTGGAAATGACTATTTTTTGCAGATTGAACAATGGTTTGGAAACTAAAACCATTTTGGTTTAGTTTTTGGTTCTTTTTTTGAACTGTAAGATCTAGTACTTGTAAGAAAAATAAAAATGTCTTCCTGGGGGGTAAATCCCTTTTCTAAACTTTTGCTGCTAAGTGCATTTCTTATGCCAGCACATGAGCTGATGAAACAAGAGGTGTGGGCCTAGTAGTTGCTGGCCTGTCCCGGTGACACAGTAAATGCTAAAGGATTTGATTTCTGAGCTCCTACCTACATGGGTGGAAGCAAGAGCAATGATGTGGAGGCAGCAGTTTAACACAGTTCTTCAGTCAGACTGCCGAAAGCCAAGCTAATTCCAGCTTCCCCCCTTTGCTCCATAGTCCGAATTCTCTTCTCTAAATGTTCTTTCCTAGGCTCCCCCAGAACCCCTGTGGGAAGACAAAGATGAATTTGTATGTGGTGTATGTATGAACGTTGTGTATGATGTGGTGTGTGCATTTGTAAGTGGTTTAGGGTGTGCATATGTGTGTTGTGTGTGAGTGTGTGTCGTGCGGCTGCGTGTATTTGCATGTGGTGTGTGGTTATGAGTGTGTGTATATGTATGTGGTGTATGTACGTACGTGGTGCTCGTGTTTGCGTGCCGTATTCATATGCGATATGTGCATGGTGTTTGTGTATTTGTATGTGGGTATGTGGTGTGTGTGTGTGCTATGTACTTGCGCACAGTGTATGTATCCTTGTGATGTGTACGTACGCATATTTGCATGTGAGGTTTGTGTATGTGTATGTGTTGTGTGTGTGATGTGTACGTGTGCATGGAGGTGTGTTTGTATGTGGTCTATAGGTGTATGTAAATTTGCATGTGATGTATGCACGCTTGTCGTATGCTGTTTGTATGTGGTTTGTCGTATGGTATGTGAGAGTGACATGTGTATTCATAAGTGGTAGGGTGGCATGTGTTTTTGTGTTCTGGATGTGCATACGTATGTGATGCGTGTATATTTGTCATATGTCTGTGTGATCATTTGCAGTTGGGGTGTGCATTCACATCTGAGGTAGTGTGTATATGTGTGGTGAATTTATATATAGTGCATATGCATCTGTACGTGCTGTGTGTTTGCGAGGGCTGTATGTTCACGTACATTGTGTCTGCATAGATGTATGAAATACCTGGTGTGTGTATAATGTGTATTTGTGTGCATTTGTAAATGGTATGTGTGTGTGGTGTGTTTGTGGGGGGGGAGTGTTTGCATGTGGTGTGTATATGTGTGTGGTGTCTCTTGTCGGTGTGTGTGTATGTGTTTGTATGCAATGTGTGTGTTATGTGTATGGTGTCTGCATGATGTCTGTGTGTGTGTGTGTGTGAGAGAGAGAGAGACAGGGGTGTGTGGTATAGCTATGGGTGGCCATTTATCCTTTAGTAGTCCCAGATTCATTGAAGAGCTTGTTAAAACCATTATTGCAATTGGTTCTGTCTTGAAATAAGCTAAATACAACGGTAACAGAAATAACTACTCCTTTTTCTTGGTTCTTCCGAAGTCATGATAGGTTGCAGACAGGAATGACTAACCAGTTCTTTCCAATAGGCCTCCTTCGCCCCCAATCCTCTGGGGAGCTGGCTTATGTTGCCAGGAAGTGAGGAAGCAGAGGGCTGTGTGCAAGTGTTAAAAAAAAAAATACAATTATTCATTGATTTGTATATGTGTTTCATCGCAAGTCAGAGACATCATTAGATTTGCACTGGCCATCACCCTTCTTGTAAGTGGACTAATACTTCAGGTTGCTTTTGTTTGGCTCAAATCGGGTCTTCAAAATTGGATAGGGTCTTATTTCTCAATTTGAAAATAAACTTGCTCCTCGGCAAAGGGCATGACAAAGACCCCTTCCCCACCACACAGTCTCCTTTGAAGCCTCCTCATCTTAATATCCAAGAATAAAAATCATATCTTCTTGCAGTTAAAAACTCCACTTTCCATTTTTTAATATCACTTTTTTATTAGACTTCTGAAAAATAAACCTGTCCTGGACCAGAGGCAGGGAGACGGAATTGCTAAACATTCATGCCACGTGTCCCTACATGCACTCTATTCAAAGAGTCGGTCTTAAATGCAGTTTTGAAACTGAAACAACAAATCTTTTCTCAGAATCCTCTGGCAGCAATGCCAAGGTAGCGCCAGTTAAGAAGTGCACCAAATCCTAATTACTCCCTTGGGAGCCGATCATTAGGCGAAAACCTGCATAATGTTCCATCTCCCGCACCATGCAGACGTGCCATATTTCTCATGTTGTTGTTTCCTGCCATTTGGAGATGTTGCTATTTGTCACACGCCAGACAGAGAAGGAGAGAACAGCAAAGTGCATTTCAGTTACTTGGGCAATTTTTTACAAATAACCAATAGATGTGCCTGCTTCCAAAGGCTTTCTTCTTCTGTGTCGGTGGACTGTGAGGCTGCCTGCCATTACGGCTTAGAGCCTCACTAGCCGTGGGGGCTCAGACGGGCTGTGGAGGGACATGTCGGGTATTTGGGAGATCAAAGGTCAGGGCTTTAATGCTACTCCCTCAAGTCCCCCTATCTTGAGTAGAACAGTTTCACTAAAATTGTTTTTATACTAGGTGTTTTATAACACCTAATTCAAGAAAAAAGGAGTAGATAAACCAACTGCACTCTAATGTTAAAAGGCATAGAGACTCTGAGTAATGAATGAGGACCTCATACCCAAGAATGGCAGGTGGCCAACTCATAAAAAATTCTTCACAGTCACCAAGCCAGCCTGTTCCAACATCAACAGCCGTTGACCCACAGGAGAAATCTCAGACTCAAAATCTCTTTATTGCCTTGGTTCTTCCCTATCAGAAACATGATTGACTGACCATGGAAAGAAATGTGAGAGGTGGACAATGAAATGTCTTATAAGCCAGATTAAAAGGATGAATTTATCTTCAAAGTCATGGAGTTCCATAGATGCAGTTTCAGCAGGTTTGAATTTTACAGGGATCATTGTAGCTGATGGGTGGAAAATTGATTGAAGAGTGGGCAAGACTGGAGACGGAGAGACAAATATGATGTTACTGATTTTTTCTTTTCTCTCTATTTGTAATAAAAAAAATGTAGTTCTGTGATGGGCAATAAGGGTAAGTAAGAACAGTGCTAACAGAGCACTTGTGAAATAAAGTCATTTACTTATTCATTCAGGTATTTAATTTGCTAATTCATTCAATTTACTCAACAACTATTTGAATGCCTACTATATGCCTGGCATTGTTCTAGGTACTAGGGACAAAGCCATTGATCTTGTGGAGTTTATACTCTAGAATGGAGGAGACAGACAGTAAACAAGTTACATATATAGTATGTTAGATGATAATAAAGACTAAAAAGAAAAATAAAACAGATGAAGCATGCAGAGTAGCTGGGGAGGTTGGAATTTTTTTAAACAGTACGATGGCCATTAAAGGCCTAAGGAGGTGAAATTTCAATAAGGACCCAATAGAGGTGAGGTGGGAGAGTTAACTGTGTGGTTACCTAGAGAACATTTCAGGCAGTGGGGACAGCAGAATTAAAAACTCCAAGGGAGCATCAGAAGTGGAATGCTCAAAAAAGAGTGAAGAGGCCAATAAGGCTGGAGTTGCATGAACAAGGGGAAGGGACTAGAAGATGAGCTCAGGAAGGTTGGCAATGGGGCACAGAGCAATGCAAACATTTTGGCTTTACCTGGAGTGAGGTGAGAGTTATTGGAGGGTGTTGAGTGGCTCTAACTTATGGTTTCACGTGGTCTTTCCAGCTGCTGTGCTGAGAACAGACTTTTGGGTGTAAGGGTCAGGCGGAGAAATCAGTTAGGAGGAAGGTGCAGTAACAGAGCCAAGAAATGATGGTGGCTTGGACCAGAGAAAATGAGAAATGGAAGGAGGATTCAGGATGTATGTCAAAGGTAGAGCTGACAGGATATAGAAAAGGGTTGGACTTAGGGTATGAGAGGAGAGAAGTCAAAAATGGAAGACTAGCATTGCCATTAACTGAGATGGGGAAGAGAGAGGGCGGGTCAGGTTTGATGGTGGGAGATTAGAAATCTGGTTTGGGACATGTTCAGTTTGAACTGTCTTTCAGACAAGAAGGCATGGGATATACTTGACTACAGCTTGGGGTGAGGTCTGAGCTAAGAGTAATAAATTTGGGAAAGCTCAGCATATAGGTGATATAGAAAGCCACAAACTGGATATGATCACTAAGCGAGAGGATATAGCTAGAAAAGAAGTGAAAGTGGACCTGAATAATGACCTGGTACAATCGACACCTAATTTCTTTGATATATCCTAGAAGCTCTTTATCAGGAGTTCCATAAAACTATTTCTTAAATTTTTTCATGGTCCTGTAACCAATTCTTATTCCAATGCAACAGTTTTTTTTTTCTACTGACTCAAAATATAAATTAATATATTTTTGCTCCATATTGGTTTTAAACAGAATTCATAGGTAACTTAGGAACCTAATTCACACTTTTCAAAAATGTTTCTATGGGAACATATATTCTGAACTCCAAATAAGTGTCTTTCAGATTACTTTTGGAACATTATCCAATTTCAGTGGAAACTGTCTGTAACTCTAGAGCAGAGAAGAACATACATTTTCATCATCCTTTATATCTTTCCATTTGGTCAAATGTTCTTCATATTTATCACCACATTTATAATGTAACCAAAATACGTATTTCTTTGAATTTTAATATACTATTAGTATTTTCATTGTCAGGTATTTTTTTTTTAAACAATTTTCCTTCCCCTTGGTTCTTGCCTAACTTCACATCTACCCCCCCGATAGATATTATTAAGTACTTTCTAACTTTACTGATAAAATAATTTTAATTGATGACCACTAATTTTTATGTTATGAAAATATATCCACTCCCTCCTATTACATGCCTTATTTACTTCAAATTAATACCAGACCAGACTTGATCAGCTCAGTATTAAGGTGATGACAGTTTCCTCTTCTGTCATGGGTTCCAGATTGTTCATGTCTGTGAGGAGTAGGAAAAAAGATGAGTAGCCATTGAGGTAATAAAAATCAAAGGAAGCAGCAACATAATCTGTTTCGCATTCTTTGTTCAATTTGCTGGGACTGCTCAAAGACACCCCATCATTCCCTCTGGCTGACACTTTTTACACAGGGACTAAATTGCATTGCTCCCTTGTCTCTGCAGGCAAACCAATTCTTTCTAAAACCCTTCACTGTGCATTTCAGGGATGACTTTTCTTTCTTTTTTCTTTTTTTTTTTTTATTCTTATGTTAATCCCCATACATTACATCATTAGTTCTAGATGAAGTGTTCCATGATTCATTGTTTGTGCATAACACCCAGTGCTCCATGCAGAACGTGCCCTCCTCAATACCCACCACCAGGCCAACCCATCCTCCCACCCCCCTCCCCTCTAGAACCCCCAGCCTCTTTTTCAGAGTCCATCGTCTCTCATGGTTCGTCCACCCCTCCGATTTCCCCCGCTTCATTCTTCCCCTCCCGCTACCTTCTTCTTCTTCTTTTTTTTTTCTTAACATATATTGCATTATTTGTTTCAGAGGTACAGATCTGAGATTCAACAGTCTTGCACAATTCACAGCGCTTACCAGAGCACATACCCTCCCCAGTGTCTATCACCCAGTCACCCCATCCCTCCCACCCCACCCCCCACTCCAACAACACTCAGTTTGTTTCCTGCGATTAAGAATTCCTCATATCAGTGAGATCATATGATACATGTCTTTCTCTGTTTGACTTATTTCACTCAACATAATACCCTCCAGTTCCATCCACGTCGTTGCAAATGGCAAGATCTCATTCCTTTTGATGGCTGCAAAATATAGGGATGACTTTTCTGATTGTCATTGTGATATTTTGCATAGAATGGCCAATCTAATCAAAAGGCTCTCCCACATTAGCTTTTTTTTCTTGTTAATCAGAAGCATGTTTTACCTTCCTCATGCTATTAGGAGTAATCTCTTTGGAAGACATTGAGTTTCAGTATTTGCAAGGCATGTCTTCAGGTCACATCTTTTCCATTACACCATTCACTGAGTTAATCTTTGGAGAGGGTGAAATGTCATCAATTTCACCAGAGGATTTCTCAATCTCTCATCTATTTCAGCCAACAGTTTTCCTCCTGACTGGGGTAAATGATCACTAGGTCCTGCAGTAAAATTTGTTGGCTCTATGAACTGGAAAGCTTTGATTTCTAGTTGCACTTCTTGTCCACATCCTCTTTGTCATTATTCTTTTGTATTTTCTGAGTTGGAAAATATTGCATGAAGGTATTATTATTTTGCAATAGAAAGAACATATAACAAGGCATCTGGAGATTTGGAATGTAGCCCCATAAATCAATGGACAAATAGCCTCTTCATGTTTCAGTTTAAGTGGGGTTTGCATTACCTTCTGTACTCTCATTATGGTGTAGGTTATGTGAGGCAATTCAGTCTCACGCTTGGAAGAGTCCTAAGGGGCACTTTACTGAAATCTCTATAGTAAGATCCCCTTTAAAATATCTTTCATTAGCTGTTATCTGTTTTTGCTTGAACATCTTCAGAAATGACATATTCCTATTCAGTTAATAAAAAGCAATAATTGTTAATTAATCATTATTTTGAGGGGGAAAAAGCTCAACCCAAGATTGTTCCTCATAATACACTCTGAAATTCTTTGAGAAGCCAACCACCAGTGTAACCCAATATTGTTTTCATTGACTGAAGGTCACCACAGATGGTGGTGATTGGGGAAGAATCAAGTGCCTCTTTTCCCACAGAACGGTTCACTCTTCACCATTTCTGCAGGCAGGACTTGTCAGCCTCCCCCCCGCCCCAATTCTTTCTTTCTTTTTTTTTAATCTGTGACATCATGTGGAAACAGAGGTTCTACTCATAAAGGCAGAAATTGACAGGCGAATAAGAAAATTTTTAAAAAAGAGGAAGGAGAGAGAAGGGAAAAAAGGTTAACAAAGAAAGAGATAAAGAGGAAAAAGATAAGAGAAAGATGTGTAAAGAAAAAGAAAGAGGGGGCCTGAGCGGGTCAGTTCATTAAGCATCTGCCTTGGCTCAGGCCACAATCCCGGGTCCTGGAATCAAGCCCCTCATCTGGCTTCCTGCTCAGCAGGGCATCTGCTTCTCCCTCTCCCTCTGCCCCTCCCCTCCCCATGGTCTCTTTCAAATAAATAAATAAAATCTTTAAAAAAAAAGAAAGAAAAAAAACCCCCAAGAAATAGGAAAATTAAACAAATGTGTCATATATGCCAAGTTGGCCCCTTCCATCAGTGCTGCAATGAGAAACACGTGGAGATGCAGTTTTCTCTAGTTTGAGTGGTTACACCTCTCTGTTCAGTTCTGCAAAAAAGCTCTCTTTTCAGGTTACCAAAGCTTGGTATTCATGAATGCTCACCTCCTCTTTTGTGGATAACATGGAGGGAGCCGAGGACCTATATGCATACTCTTCTCAGTCTACTACTTTAAAGATGTTGACTTCCACAAGCATGTAGCATGAATGGTGGCTACAATGAAACTGGTCACATTTTATGCGATAAAAATGAGGAGGCATTAATTTGAAAATCTAAAACATAAGTTCTGGGCAATTCTGTACATTTTTTGTGGTTCCATTGTTAGCCAGAATTATCAAATTCTACAATCATTCTGTCATGAAAGGAATTGGTTGTATTTTGCCAGTGTTGATGAGCATGTTTCTGTCACTGGTTGTTTCTGTTACTGACCCCTTCTCTTTTCTGTTGAAACTTTGTGGGTGGAAGGACTATTACATTTCCTGTAGCTCACTTTTCTGGGCAAGTTTCAGGTAGAGGAGTTACTTTTTCTTGAGCAGAATCATTTAATTATGGCTTAAGTTACCTGGGGCTCTATCCATCCATCCATCATCTACATTTACTTCTCTCTCATTTTTTTTCACAAAAGAGTGATTTCTTGGATTCTCTAAGCTTATTTAGATCTGACTCTTCCATATTTTATCTACAAGGATTTTATTTACAAGGATAGTTTGCTGCTTCTCTCTTTTATTAAAATGGTCACTATATAACTTCTTTGAGAAAACATGGTTCTTTCTGATTAGTAAAAGGAAGAAAGAAAGAAAAAAAGAAAGAACAAAGAAGAGGAAAGAAAGAAAGAAAGAAAACAAGAAAAAAAAATCCTGCATAGAAAATCAATTTGAAAATAGATTTAATGGGAAAATATGTTTCAATTTATCTTATTAGGTCTCTAAGATATGGTACATCTTAATGCTTACCTAGCCAATTCTGCCATTGGGCTGTGTGTTCTAAGACTTCAAGAGGGAATTAAGAAACTTCTATACTCACTGTAAGAGGTGTGAGGAAACTATAAAAGTAATTGCAGTTGATGCTTTTTATAATCTTCTGAGGTGCACCTATTCTTAGACTTTTAGGAATTTGGTCAGAGTGATGCTTCAAATCAAATGTAGAATTAGGAATTGATTTCATTTCCACTTGATTCCAAAGCCTGTGACCCCTCCTCTCTACTATCTTGTCTCCTGTGATTTACTTCTGTGTCCCTTTTCTTTTTTTTTTTAAGATTTTTATTTATTTATTTGAGAGAGAGAGAATGAGAGACAGAGAGCACAAGAGGGAGAGGGCAGAGGGGGAAGCAGACCCCCCGCTGAGCAGGGAGCCTGATGTGGGACTCGATCCCGGGAGTCCAGGATCATGACCTGAGCCGAAGGCAGTTGCTTAACCAACTGAGCCACCCAGGCGCCCTCTGTGTCCCTTTTCTTGGCAGATATCATACCTTTACTCAAATCCTTGTCCCTAGGGAGAAGATCAGATCATTCCTTTTTTAATACATTAGAAATGAGATCTGAATGAATTAGAAAATTGAGTGTGGTTTTAGTAATTAATGGAGGTCTTTATTATATCTCGATAATAAATAAGAAGGATGGACATCTTGGCTCTTTCCACAGTTTGGCTATTGTGGACATTGCTGCTATAAACATCGGGGTGCATGTACCCCTTCAGATCCCTACATTTGTATCGTTGGGGTAAATACCCAGTAGTGCAATTGCTGGATCGTATGGTAGCTCTATTTTCAACTTTTTGAGGAACCTCCATACTGTTTTCCAGAGTGGTTGCACCAGCTTGCATTCCCACCAACAGTGTAGGAGGGTTCCCCTTTCTCCGCATCCCCGCCAACATCTGTTGTTTCCTGACTTGTTAATTTTAGCCATTCTGACTGGTGTGAGATGATATCTCATTGAGGTTTTGATTTGGATTTCCCTGATGCTGAGTGATGCTGAGCACTTTTTCACGTGTCTGTTGGCCATTTGGATGTCTTCTTTGGAAAAATGTCTGTTCATGTCTTCTCCTCATTTCTTGATTGGATCATTTGTTCTTTGGGTGTTGAGTTTGATAAGTTCTTTATAGATTTTGGATACTAGCCCTTTATCTGTTATGTCATTTGCAAATATCTTCTCCCATTCTGTCCATTGTCTTTTGGTTTTATGGACTGTTTCCTTCGCTGTGCAAAAGCTTTTTATCTTGATGAAGTCCCAATAGTTCATTTTTGCCCTTGCTTCCCTTGCCTTTGGTGAGGTTTCTAGGAAGAAGTTGCTGCTACTGAGGTCGAAGAGGTTGCTGCCTGTGTCCTCCTTTACAATTTTGTTGGACTCCTATCTCACATTTAGGTCTTCCAACCATTTTGACATTGGGGAGGGTATGTGCTATGGTGAGCACTGTGAATTGTGTAAGGCTGTTGAATCATAGACCTGTACCTCTGAAACAAATAATACATTATATGTTAAAAAAAAAAAAAAGAAGAAGAAGAAGATAGCAGGAGGGGAAGGATGAGGGGGGGAAATCGGAGGGGGAGATGAACCAGGAGAGACTATGGACTCTGAAAAACAAACTGAGTGTTCTAGAGGGGAGGGGAGTGGGGGGATGAGTTAGCCTGGTGATGGGTATTAAGGAGGGCATGTTCTGCATGGAGCACTGGGTGTTATATGCAAACAATGAATCATGGAAC